TACTTTTATTATTATCTATTTTATAAATTTATACTAACATTTTGGACTTTTATACCTAACACAGCCTCACACCTTTGTCAGAGATTTACACTCAACTCACACTGTATTAAATTAATAATTCTACATATATTTATCTCAGCTTTTGCTAATTGAGTTAAATATTTGCTTAGCCTGAGGGTCGGGCCTTTTAATTGGGTTAATTCTCTCATGCACAGCATATTTATCAGCAACATTAGCCGCAACATTCTGGTTTGGCATAGCCAAAATGTACACAGAGTGAAATATATTTGAATGTGCTCATTTGTTTTGGTTTTTTCCTCTGATTGAGGCAAAAAGCATTTGTTGTTGCATGCGACGACGAGTGAAAACAGAACAATCCTTGACGCAACAAAAGAAACGATTTGAGGTGGACGCAAAGTGCAGCAGCCCACGAGGCGTATGGAAATATTACGCATACGCCAGCGTTGCCAGGCAGAATCTTGATAGGCGGCTGACATGCAATAGCCAGCCCTTATATCGAAAGACTTGCGGATAAATAGAATGTGAACTGCGTGAACTGGTTTAAAACTAACTCAATTGTGATTAGCGAAATATCTTAAAAGCTGTTTATAAACTTTCTTTTAGCTTTTGAAATTTATAATTAGAGACTAGAATGTATTTATGGTATATTAATAAGCGCTCTCATAAATAATATAAGATCTATCAGCAGTCTTATTAAAGACATGTTGAAGAAAACAAATCCTTTGCCTTACATAACCCCAACATATTCATTAAGCTTAACAGTCCGAAATTTATGGGATCTATTCAAGTAAGTTCAGCAATTAAAATAATTTATAACATGCACGCTTCTCATATTTAGGAGAGCTCTAATTAAGCACTTCTCATATGCAAATGTATCTGTATCGCATAGACGTATACATGCATGCATCTAGATACAAAAACAAATCTGTGACACAATGCGTCGTGTTGCAAGTGAAAGTCATGAAAGCAAATAACAGCAACAACAACAACATCTGAGCCTTGTGCTCGCCGTTGTCGTGAGTACGTGTAGAATGTCAAAACACAAAAGCGAAAATGTGCGCGATGTGCAGGCAACAGGATGCGAGGCAGACATGGCGAAACCCCACACCAACCCCTGCCCCCTGCCCCCTGCCCCCCGCCCCTTAACTGGCCAGCTCCACCCCAAGGCGCGCCCAGCCGCCCAACTAAACCTCAGTTGGGATGAGGGTTGGCCAGCATTTAGAGCCAGCCGCATGTCGTAGCTGCAAGGCCAACAAGCTGCTGCCCCATCGGCACAGTGGGGCAGCAGGCAGCAGGCAGCGGGCAGCGGGCAGCGGGTAGCGGGGCATTTTGCATGCCTGGCACCGCATCCTATTGCCTATTGCCAGAGGATAGCTGTGTGCCAGCTATGTTCGTTTGGGTCGGGGGCATTCAACTTGCAGCGCAAAAAGTAGAAAAACCGTAAATAAATGTGCCCAAAATGCTTTTGAAGTTGTCAAAAGCCTGCGTTATGCGAGTTGACATACGTGCTTCCGGGCCGAGGCGGAGGGTGGTGGGGGGGCAGAACCATTCTAAAACAAACCCAAGCTACTTTTGTCTATGATCTGTAATTAAACGAGCTAGACTTTAATGTTGAAATTGTATGAACCACTTAGGTAAGAGGCAGAACGAAGCAGAAGAAAGATTAAACCCAAATGAAACCCAAGTTAAGAATTAAAATTGATTTAGATTATTTTGTGAAAGGGCAAAAGATATATCTATTAAAGGGATTTTCGTATAAGACTAATTATTTCCAGAAGAAAGTTTTATATTCTGACTAAGAATCAAGATTGACTTCGAATTTTTGTGGAAATGCACCTAATTTTCTAATAATTAATGCATATTATTTATTATTTTTATTAATATTTGATAACATTCTTTTTAGATGTTTATTAAAAATTTTAGATTTTGCGCTTATTAGAATTCTCTAAAACTCAATTCCGTGCAAAACTTTAAATAAAATAAATATTTTTACATAAAACGTTCGACAACTTGTCCCACCCCCGCCCATTGCCCCCCCTCCCCCTCCCGCCACGCAGCAGTACCCTAATTTTCCTAGCGGCGAAACAAAAGAGAAAACCTTCGTTGCAAAAAATAAACAATGTTACAATGTTTTCTGATGTTTTAGCCCAAAAAACTGGCGGTTTCCCCCCTTGGCTCTTGGCTGTGGGTAATGATATGTCACGTTTGCTCTAGACTTTGTTTTATATGTAGTTGCACTCAATGACACTGCAACAAAAAATGTTGCAAAAATGAAAATAAAATGAAAATTGCGCAGCAGCTGCAATAAAATTAACGCAATGGCATGGAAAAGAATGCAGCCCAAAAAAACAAAAAAAAAAAAAACGAAATACAAAAAAAGGAAAAGCACAAAATGTGCAATTTCTGAGTGGTTTTTTGGATGCGTCGCTTTGGGTGGGTGTTGGCGGCGGTTAACTTTTTTATGCAGTGCTGTAGCTGCTGTTGCCAACTGCACACGCAGCGGAAATAAAAGGAAAAGCGCAAAGAAAATAAAAACTAAAAAATGGCCTGCAAAAGGCAAACAAGAAAAACGATGTGAATTCAAGCTGTCGTTAATGGCAGGGCTCACGCGTAGACCCACAGAAAGCCGCTAGAATTTGTCGTCATGTGGAAAATACCTGGAAAATAATTAGATATATGCTAAAGCTGGCCAACGTAATGCTCGAGAGGCGAGCCCAGACACGTAACTTGGCTAGAAATACAAGGCCCAGCCATTAGGCAGTTACTTTTTCAGTGATTCGTCAGGGTGTAATTTAAGTTTAGTTACAGCTTTTACTTAGGCGCTCGTTTTGTCAAATATTAAAAAAATAATAATAATAGTAAAGGAAAAGTATTATAGAGTTTACTCATAGTATAAATGTCCTCTAGTTAGAGCAAAACAAAATTTGATAAACGAAAATTGTCTTTATAATAATAAATTTACGCTCTAATACTTTTTCATTTTTATTAGAAATTTGATTAAAATTATAACCATATAAGACTTAATATGATGATAAATTCTTCAGATATCAGTAATATTTCCATGCAATGTAATTCAAAGACTTCAGAAACAAAGAAACATCAGGCACTGCCTATTTTATGGTGACTCTTCGCATGTTCTTCAGGTACAAGTAAGTGCTGCTGGGTCCACACACACACACACACACATGCACACACATGCACACACACGCACGCACTTATAGAGCAATATAATTGCGCTCGTTTGGAGAGCAGGCGGACTTCCAACCATTTAAAATTGCAGCTACTTGCAGTGCGTGGGCGCCGGGCGTGGAAAAGAGCTATAATACCGACTGCAGACAGTCTCAGTCTCTTTCACACTTACGCACACACGCTCGCACACACACACACACACAGTTGGATGTGTGCAGACCACATTCGACGCTCTGTCATGTCAAAAGGATGCTGACTGACCAACCCCTTCCAAGCGTACGCGTCAACCCCTACCCCTACCCCTGCCCCTACCCCAACCCCTACGCCTCTGCCTGCTGCTGCCATTTGCTGTTAAAATTGTATGGCGTCAACTGTACTTTTATGCACACACACAAATACACACTCACACGTACACGCACACACTCGAACAGCCACATACGTAATTCATTTCATTCTCTCGCACATTTTTATGTACGAAATTTTATTTCAATTCATTTAAAAATATGTGTAATGCTTCCTTTTTTCCTCTTCGTTTTTTTGCTGTTCGCCATCCTTTCGACTTTTGTGCTTCGATTTTCAATTGCCAGGCGCAGCAGTAGCCTATCCAGCCCCAGCCCCAGCCCGCGCAGCCCCGCACACCCGCACACGCCCCTTGACCGCTGCCCACTGGCATTTTCGTGTGCTCTGCCCCCCCCCCCCCCCCCCCCCCCCCCCATCCGCTCAAAGGGGGGTTTGGGGCTTTTTGGGTGGCTTGTTTCACCCTTTTGCGCTCGCATGCTTCAGCCTGTCCGCGCAATTTTTTCAATAATTAATTTTTTGCGCGTAAATGCAATTTGCATGTAGATGAGCGCTCACACATACACACACACACACTTGGCCACATGCATATAGTGGACATATATGTGCTGATGTGTACATAAGTCCGTTATATAATAGGGGGCTATTTATTGGATGGCCGCAGCGTTAAGCACCGTTTTTATTGCCTGCTTTTTGGCGCGCATTGGCGCCATCTCTTTCGCACAATGCGCCGACCACAGCTCCGTCTCACTCGCACACTTTATGCGTATGCTCTGCTTTGCGCCAGTCTGTACTTTTTTCATAATTACTTTTTAAGAGGCATTACTCGAGCATTATATAGAGTGTACTTTAACTTGTCCCTTGGCATTATAAATTGATAAGAAATTCAATAACTTTCTATAAGAGATGAGCACGCACTAAGAATTCTTATCAAAAACGAGAATATTATACTCCAATAATTAAAAGTCAATATGTACAGCTCAATAATACTCCAAAGTATATATCTTAAATAAGTTTTGGAATTAAAATTCTGCTCTTGTTATTTAGCTAGATAGTTATACTAAGATAAAACCTGATCTAAGTTAAAAAGCTCTAACTATTAGGTTTACATGAATCTTATAATCCATATAAACAGGTTTACAGTTTTAATCAGTATTTAACTTTGATGATAAGGATATGCTCGAATATATGTATTAAGACTGGTAAACTGATGTTACCCGGCATTGCTCAGTCCAATTTGATTACTTCCGTAATACTATTATAAGGTCCTTTCAGATAATATGGATATTGTCAAAAAGAACTTTACTGCATGTTTCATAAATTTTATCGAAATTTCCCTAGACACTCCTCAAATCTCCTAAGAGTAACATAGATACTTAAGAAAACCTAAGTAAGTTCTCAAACATAACAAAATGTGATGTCCCTAGTCAAATTGTATAAATATGAGAATTAAGGGTTCCTCGTCTTTAATCTTAACTTTGACAAACACTTACCAAAATTCGTTATCCCAAACTGAGTTTTTAGCTGTTTTCTGTGATTCCTGATCCAAGCGGGTTTTCAAGTGACTCAAAACTGTGTCCGTGGGGAATGTTGTTAATTTTAGTTTGGCCCAAAAACTGTTTCCTTTTAAATTCTCAAATATGCTTTTGTGTGTGTGTGTGTGTGTGTGTGTGTTGGATTTCAATTGAATTCCTTTTGTGGTTGTGTTTTATTTTTATCATAAATGTAATATAATTTAATGTATAGCTTAAAACGTTTTCTTTTTGTTTATAAGTTTTGTTATCTGAATGTGTTTTTTTTTTTGTTTTTGTTTTATTTGCTTTCTGCACTACGAATAATTAATTAGTTTGATTTTTGGAAAATTGTCTTTACATGTTAATTTTTGTTTTTGTTTTTGTGGTTTTTTTCTGGGTTTTCTTAGGTTTCGCCTGCTTTTTGCCACGATATGAATATTTGCCTTTAGTTTAGATTGTTTTCAATACACTCGAGAGATATATTGCGATATATGCATACACATTTATACATATATATATGTGTGTATTTGTATGTGTATATTACCTCAAACTGTCTCGTGCTTTGCTTAGCCAAAAAACACACACATTAAATGGGTTTTGCGCAACATTGGCACACAATAAATTTGATTTGTTTGTTTTTTTTTTTAACTTTTTTCTGCACACACGAAATGTTTGATCGCTTTTCGTTTGATCGCTTCAAATTGTTCACCTTTTTGTTTTCATCAAAGTTTTTAAAATTGTTTTTCTGCTGCTTTTTCGCTTTGCTCCCAGACTTTTTCAGAACATTTTTGTTGTTTTACGAACGTAAATTTAAAGACGAAATGACGAAAATTGAAACCGTAACAAAAAAGTTTTCTTTTGTTTTTGTTTTTTTTTTTTTTTTTAACGACAAAAATTGTGTTTTTTTTTTATTCTTTTGTAACTCTTTAATTTCTGTTTTTTTTTGTTTTTTTTTTAGTAATTTGTTTGAATGAGACACAAAAAATTTAACAAATTTTGGCTATTTCTTTTTTGTTTTACTTTGTTATTGGTTTTGCTTTTGGCTTTGGAATTTGACTTTTGATTTTTCACTTCTTTTTCGGTTTTCTGTTTTCGGTTTACTGTATTCTGTTTTCGTTGCTATTTTCTATTTTTGTTTATCTGTTCCTGTTGCTGTTTTGTTTTTTTTTGTTTGTTCGCTTTCGGTTGCTGCTTTGTTATCGGTTTATCGGTTAATCGGGCTATCGGTTTATCGGTTTATTGGCTTTTTTTGTGGTTTTTGGTGTTTTTAAGGCTATTTCGGTTTCGTTTCGATTTGTTGCTATTTCTGTTGCTTTGTTATATTATTATTTGTTGTTGTTGTTGTTGTTTTTGTTGTTGGATTGGTTTATTGGCTGTGTTTGTGTTTGGTTTTATTTCTGTTTTGTTGCGCTTTGATTTTTGTTCTTGATTTTTAGTTTTATATTATTTCGTTTACAGTTACGTTTAGTTTGTTTTCTTTTTTGCTTTTATGGTTACAATTCGCTTGCTATTATTGTGTTCTCTTTTCTTTTATTACTATTATATTTATGCTTTTATTTTGTTTAATTATTATTTGTAATTGTTGTTGCTTTTATTGTTGCTGTTGTTTGTTGTCGGTTGGTTGTTTGTTGTTGCAGTGGTTGTAGTTGTTGTTGTTGTGTAGTTGTTGTTGTTGTTGTTGTAGTATTCCAAATTTTGTTGTGAATTTTGTTTGTTAAATTTTGAGAAACTAACTGAAAATCACTTTTTATTTTCGCTTAAAACTGAAAGTTAACTTTAATTTTCTGCTATTTTTTTTTTCTCTTCTATTTCCCGTTTTATGATGTTTTGTTGTTGTAGAATTTTTGTTTTTTCGTTTGTTTTTGTTTTTTTTTTTAAATTATATACAAATTAATTGATAGAATGATTGAAACAAATTAAAAGTTATTAACTGATTGCACATGAGTTGTTTAATTATATTGTTATTATTACATTTGCAATTGTTATTATGATGACTTGTCGTAGTATTATATAATTATTTATTATTATTATTATTATTATTGTTATTATTATTTTAATTAACAAAACAATATTTTAATAAGTATCAACAACGTTTTAACGTAATCTTTAAAAATGTTCCAAACAGTCAAAAAGCACCTGTGATAAAAAGTTGAAGAAAACATAAAACGATTAGCGAAAATTACAAATGAATCAAGTGTTATTTAGACAAAAATGCAGCTCGAATAAAAATCTTTTACTTTCTCATATTAATTCTGTGCAATTTTATCAGATATAACACGGTAAAAGCCGTCGGCAGGTGGAAAAAAAAACCACAGCAGGCCGACGGCACTTGGGCAAAGTATTTTAATGATAACGTATTCAATTATTATTTGATAATAATTATTGAATTAGCCAAAGAGCGACAATTGTCGTGTCTTATCGTAATCGATATCATTCGGTTCATCAACATGCTTTGCCGCACTTCCTGTTAGACACGCACAACTACAAACGCAGACAGCCGCCCGCCCCGCCCATAACATAGAAACAACTCCAGCAGTAAGCACAATAGACGAACCTAACCCCAGACACACGCATTGTCTAAGCTCGGCGCGCGAGCGACAGCACGCGAATGTCGAGGTGGAAGAGAGTGGAAGAGAGCGCAAAAGCGCCAACGGCAGGACTGCGGCATGGACAACAACAAGCCATCGAGTAGGGAAATACAAAACTAAAGCGAACAAACAACAATTTCAAGTTCAAAACGCCGCTGTTTGCCACGGCGAGGGGGTGCGCCCGGAGTGCGGAGGGTGGAGTGTGGGCGGCGGTGGCTTGAGTGGCCAAATAACAAATAGCCAACAAATAAAGCGTACAAGGCATTCCATTACGGTAAAAGTGGCAGCAGAAGTCGCCAAAAATAGTGCTACAATCTAATGTTGCAAAACGAAGAGCAACGTCGACGCGCGACGTCAACGCGCTGCCGCCGGCGACTGCAGCGGCATCGGCAAATGTAGAGTATACTTAGAGCCACCCACACATACAAGGAAAGGCACACGACGAATCTGTCAGCTACAGAGCGCATTTACATTTGGGCACAAAATGAATCAAGCGATTAGATGACGTACAATGGAAGAAGTAAAATCAGCAATAAAAATACATGCACACGCATACACGCATACATACATACATATTGGAAAAGTTCATATATATGGGCAAAAATTGCCGAACCGCGACGATAGTCAATACTCTCCATGAATAGGTACTCAATCAATCCGTAAAAATACATGCATGCATACATACATACATGTGTATGTATGTACATGTGCATACATATGTGTTTTGTCATTAATTGAAACTGTTTTCTGTACTTATTTTTAGAACTCTCTCTCTCTCACTCTCTCCCTCTCTCTCTTGTTTCAACTTGTGTAGCACATTTGCCAAACAACAAATACTTATTTTTGGTACTTTTGTATGCTGAATTGCATTCACAGATATGTATGTATGTATGTAATTGTTTTAATCACTTTCTATGCTCTGACACGTTTGCGTATAGTTTTAAAAATTGTATAGTTAATTAACGAAAACATTTATACAATTATATGATTAAACTCTATGCACATTTATGCATAAATTATTTGTATTGTTACAAGTGTTATTTTAAAGAAAAAACTGTATTCCTTAAAATTAACTAGTTTTTTGCTCCTGCATTTTACACATGCATATGAATGCATATACATATACGCATGTATGCTTGTATGTATGTATGTATATAGAGCTGTAGATCACTTCAGCTATTTATTTTACACTCATGAAATGTGCTCACTCAAATCTTTGGGCTCAATGGAATATTGATACTGTTATATTTTACAGATGCACACAAACATATTAACAGTTTCTACACATATGTATGTATGTACATATGTATATTTGGGTCTGAGTACTTTTTCTCTTTTACTGTAAATTCCAAAACGTTTTTATCTTTTAAGTTTTATGTGTACATATATCATATATCGTGTTGAATTCACCGTTCGAATTATCACAACTAACACACTTCGCTGTTTAATAAATGTATTGCCATTTCGTCTATTCCACTATTCGTTTGCTTTATTAAGTATCCTGTGCACCCACATTCACAAGGCCGCAATGCACAGAAGCGTCTCCGGGTCATGAAATTCGCAATAAAACATCCTTAGAGATTCATTTTTTGCCACTTCTGTTATTTTTTTAGACGCCCCACACGCACACGCACACACACACACATACACTCCAATATATTTATATAGATATATCTACACACAAGTGTAAGGCGAACGAAACAAAACACACAGTAAATAAAATAATGGAAACAACACGACGAGACAAGCGCGAAAGGTAGGAAGTCTTCTACGTATGTATTTATGTATGTGAGTATCCCAACTGAAGCTGATGTATCGGCATCTCGGCAGACGCACAGAAGGCGCAAAAGACGAGAAATTGGACGGCATGAAGCGGAATCAGAAGAAGATGCAGACAGCAGACACAGAGAATCAGAACACAGAACAAAGCGAAGACGAATTTAGCGCGAAAAATTGAAGCTGAAAAGTTTGCGCGACGCGCGCTCCACGAAACGCACCGAAAACGGCCAAAAAGATGAATATGTGCAAAAATCTTTTGCATACGCTCAAGAACCCCATGAAAACGAACTGCCAAGCCAAGCAGAGACGCTGACGTTGACGCTGGCAGCGACCGCGACGCCAACAACGACCGCAACTGGGAGAGCAAAAGAAATGGAAAAATACGAAATAACAAAAATTAAATGCTGGCGGGGGTGTGTTGGGGGCGGCAACAACAGCAGCGACAGAGACTTTGCAAGAGCTTTTTACAGACGCGCGCGCTCAGGCCACAAAAACGAAACGAAATGAAACGACGCGAACGCAAAAAGACGATGATGACGACAACCACGACAGCGGCGACGACGCTGCTACGGCCCCCCCACTAGACACACCGATACACACAATCAGAGCGGCGAGAGCGCCAAGACTTGACACTGTATGTGTGCATGTGAGAGAGCACAGACAAAGGCAAGCAAAGCGAATAAAAAGCATCGACGAAAAAAGTTTGCAAAAAGCAACTTGGAGGTGTGTGCATGCGTATGTATATATCAGTGTCTGTGTGTGTGTGTGTGTGTGTGTGTGTGTACATACAGATGGGTCTGTATT